ACCAGATCAATGTTGTATTATCCACCTACACTAGCATTAACATAAAATCAATGCATCGTATAAGAAAAAGAATCAATGTATTTCCTTCAATTTACACAATAATAAAGAATCAATGTAAAACCTCAAAAATAAATCCAGTTTGGGGATTTTTCTTTGCCGATGTAGGGTTTTTCCAATCAGATTAATCTGACCAGAAAATTAGTCTTAAACTTATGAGCAGCGGGGGCAGAAGGCTGAAGAATAAGTCTGAGATGTTCTGGTATCTCAGAAGGAAGTGTGGGTGCAACACTTGGAAATTAGGAATGGGAGGGCAAAGGCAGTCTAAGAACAACTCAATTCTCAGCATGCAACAAGATCTGTGCAGGAGGACAGTGCTCCATGGGGCTCAGGGAAACACAGCCCACCCTAACAGATCTAATTACAACAGTTAGGCGTAAGTTTGCTTCCCATTTGTGAGGGCTTTAAATTTATTAGCTACAGATGATGAAGAGAAACTTTCTAAAGAATTGAGAGGGAAAATAAGATAAGGGGTTAGGGTTTCCTCTTTTCCTCATCCACCAAACTCCTTTTACCTGTGACTTCAATACAGTGCTTGTAAATGATACATACGGGCCTGACATTGAGTATGATTTGGCTCCAGGACTGAAGGTAGTTAGAAATAGTGGGAATGCATTTTACAGTAGGTCCTGCAGAAGGGCAATGATGATGGCAGAAGACGGATGTTTGTATGCTTTCTATTGCCTCACTGAAGCATGTATCTATGCAGCAAGGACAGCAGCAGTTGCACTACCCAGTTTGGTGCCATCATAAAACAATTATACAGGTCCAGCCTTCTGCAAGGAAAGCACTAAGGAATGTTATATGATGTTCACGCGCTGGGTTCTTGAACTTTCAGAAAAACTTTCCATCAGCAGTGTTAATTTTGACACAAGCCAAATCCCTATAGTGAAGAAGAATTTCTTTTTAACTTATTTTTCACCTCTGAAAAATTGTCTCACCTTGAAAATATGATATTAAAAGAAATCTGACTTTAATTAACTCTTATCCAACTTTAATACTGAGATTTATTTGCCACTGGAGTACTGCTCTACATGTCTACTTACACGATTTATATGACTACCTCACTTGTTTGACAGTGCCTACTATCTTGGTACACCAAACTGTGGTATTGTTTTAAATATCACACATATAATACAAATATAATTAGAGAAGAATCATTCAATAAAACTAAACCAGTCATGTTTAAAAGCCAGTAGAAGTAAAGGCTGTTTCAAGTGGGCTTCTTCAAAAAGAACAGTGTTACCATATCTCCAAAGCAGTCTCTACTGATATGTCTCTTTACCTCCTTTCACAAATTGCTTCATGTTTTAGAGATTGTTCTTCTAACAGACAATACATGCACATAGTTTTCTTCACAACTTGTATGTCTATGCTGTTTATAGACAGAAAGAAGTTTTACTAAAATACTGTCTAAAGTAGACACATAGATTTTTAAATTCGATTCCCTGCCAATATGTGGATACTCCAGGCAGTATTCAAGCAGAGCCTGCAAAACCTTAGACAACGAAGTTGGCAGACAGTTGATAAATGCTTTGGTTTAGAATTTGGAATGGTCACTTAACTCGTGGCCATGAGTTATTTCCTAGATTGGGGAGAATAAATAAGGCAAATTTACAGACCTGCCTGCTGGAGATTGACCTGCACCTGTCCCTGTGGGATGATGCCCACACATAGTTTGAAACCATTGCTCTTGGGAGGCTTGGCAATTTTACAAAAGCATATCCAAATACTGTGGTCTGTGACAGTTTAAGAGGGCACCTAATTAACGGGCAGCTCTTATTATGGATATTGGTCAAAGGAAAAGGGGGAGAGGAAAGATTGACTGAAAGATTATGATAAATTACAGGAAGTAATTATATGAGGGAGGGTTATTTTATTAGTCACTAGGAAAACTGAAGGCTGTTAAATTTAAATGCACTGGTAAAGGTCTTTGACATCACAGTCCTATCCTAGTAATCCATTGGGATCAGTTAATCCATTGATGTAAACTTCACCTTGTGAATATGAAACTTTGAACAGGCTAAGACAAAACTATCTTACAATGGCATGACCACATATTCCAAAGAAGCTGAAATGATTAATGCATGGGACTTCAACATTTTAAGAGCACAATAAAGGCCTTAAATCGTTAGTCATGGAAGGCTGTTTCTACAGTATCAAATTTCACCAGGCTGAAGTACTCCAGCAATCTTCTCTAGGCCGAACAGTGTGTTTAATTTGGTGATCTTATTTGTTAAAAGCACACTGTGAGGCTACACTCTCACCAAGGCAGGAAATTTCTCACTTTGGTAATCTAATAATCTTAAAATATCTCAAAGAGCATTTGGCCTGAAAAAGGCCTAGGAGCTTGCTACAGCACTGCCTCTGAAAAATCTCGCTGTGCACTTCAGAGACTGCTGTGACAAAAAAAATTTGCAAAGCTGAGATTTTCTTAATATTCAAGTGTTAGCCAGCTTCTGATTTCTCAGCTGCTTGCTCTTGTGTGCTGTTTTTAACTGGCAGGACCTATAAGAATAAGGAACGTGGGATCATTCATATAGGTTACTTCTTTTGGAAATGTCGGAAGAATACTGCTTAGGTGCCCTTATAATGCAAAAACCTTAAGCCTCTCTCTGCTTGCTATTGTAGTTTGCCAACAAGTTCCCCAAAGGTTTCTGAGAGTCTTTCCAGTGATACCTTCCAGAATGTAGTCAGTCCAAGGTTCACCTTCATTAATTAATTAACTTTTATCCTTCTTACCTAGGAAATTATCTTGAGAACAGACATTTGATGGATATACTGGTAGAGATAGTATGAGTAGTAGAAGTGGTATTGTACTATTATTGATACAGAATAGTCCTGACACTAATACAGTAAGTACGTGCACTTACTTACAGTATAGTTACTATACTTACAAGTACCACTACCAGCTTACATGAGTTCTTGATCAGTGAAAAATCTTTAGGAAGCAGCTAATATCGTAAGTACAACAAGACAAACCTGTTATCACCCCAATCTACTAACTGCAAATAAGCTAGGTACAATGAGGAACAACCAACCTGTGTGTATCACTTCTGCAGAGCTCATTACTACTTGTGAACTCTTGCTCTGTCAGGACAGAAGGTTTTGATATATTTTATGTTCCTGAATACTGACTCATCAAAAATCACATTTATTCTACTGTCAATATAGTGCTTTTCAGGGTTGCTAAACTTATTTTGTAACACAACCACAGAGCTGCATTTGTAATCACTGCATTGTAAGAACATCTTTGAAACAATCTAGTCTTAAACAGAATAATATCCTTTAGAAACACGACCATCCTAATAAATTTTCTCCAAAGCAATTATCTTTTGAAAGTGCAGAAATATTTTAGTTTTTTTTTCCTTTAAAGTTGGCAGCCACAGGATGCATTCTGATTAAACTGTGTAATATCCAGTCAACTAACAGATCAAATAAAAAGGACACTTAATACATGTGTAAATCATTTGAATTACAAATAAGACACTCTAGACGGGGCTTGGCTCTAGATTTGATATAGAGGATTAGGCTCTCGTATTAATACGTGCACTTGGTGTAGCTATTTTCAGAAAGATACTTCATCCATCATTGTCCTCAAGCACTAAGGAGGGCTGGTAAGGTAAAATGATCATGTTGGTCTGTCAACACAACTTGCTTGAGACTCAATTGTCAAAAAGTTTAGTTTTCATATACCCCCACCTCAACACGGTGCTGGAACTGCCTAATGCTCCTGATAGTTACCTTTCTTTTGCCTTTCACAAAACATTTCTAAAGACTTTTAAAATAAAGCAAATGCTATTGATAGGTCAGTGTTAAATCAAATGTACTCATTCAATCTGCACACATAGGCCTATCAGATCTTTCAGAATTGTTGGGAAATAAATGCTATTTCATGACATCTATACTTTCCACAGGTTATCTTTAAGATTAAACTCAGGTTTGCATCTGGGAATGCATTAGGGAACCTGTCTGCATACCTCTTCTTTCTCAACAGTTGCAGAGCACATACAGTTTGCACGTTTTTGGCTTTGCAGAAGATATGTATATTGTCAATGTTAAATGGTAATCATCAAAAATTCCTACCAAAATGTCAAAATTTGAAAGTAAAATAAAGGAAGAGCTATAGAAATATGTAAATATAAGAAGGTTATTTAACTTAATTTTTCAAACTAGTAAAAAATAAATGCTAGCTTTTAAAAAGCTATGGATTAGTAGACCCTGAAGATTTTATGCCTGTTTAAGCAGCTTCCAATAGACAATTCTGCCTCACTAGCAGACAACATACTCAGTTTCATTGCTATTAACTTCATAGTACCATGAAAGACTGTATTACTGTCTTTAACTATCCTTTTGAAATATAAAATAATAATTTATGTAGTGTGGCAAAGTGTAGCACTCCAGTTTGACCTGTACAGAAAAACTACATTCTTCACTTATGCATTAGACATATGGAATGTGTTTTAATCAGAACCTTAAAATTGTTTTATGAACCTATCCTTTCTATTCAATAACTTAAAAAACTTCATGAAAAACATATCAACATACTGACTTTTTAAACCAAAAGAAATGCTTATTCCCTAATTTCCTGAGTCTAGATATCTCAGCTATAGAGAAACCAGTAATAGCACTACAAAAATCCTGCAGTCTTTAAAAAGTGAATACAGAATTTGCCCATTCAAGTAGTTTCTAAGTATCTCTGTAAAGCCATTTTTTATTGCCTAAAGTAGTTGGAGGCTGAAACAGTGTCATGCTATACCCCTACCTGAAAGCAATGTTTTAGTTTAAAGGATCAATGAACTGCAATGATATTATGATGTTACACAGCTGTCACTCTTAGACATTATTTGTTGTTAAAATACAGTCTGAAAGGTGTCTTGTGTATGTGTGTACTTGTAATTCCTGTAATTAAGAAGCATTCAGGTAATATTTGTTATGCTTACCATCTTTCTTGGTGGGTTCCGGCATTGTTACAAGAATTCTTTATTCCCAGTGAATTTCAGCCTTTCAGATGCAGTAAGTAGTAGCCCCAAGTCCAGCTGAGAGTGTATGCAGATCAGTATGACAAGCAGAGGGTGAGAAGAATTCCTCTGCTTTATATACTGCGACTGAAATATCAATCAAAATAGCACCTCCTCTCTTTTCAATGCAAACACTTCGAAAACTGACAGATATGGGAACCCCTCTCACATCTGTTGTCTGCTGCTTCTGCTCCCTTGGCTTTTGGAAGGAATCTCTGCATTGCATGGGGCTGATGAGAACATCTATAACTTTCTAAATTCAGCTGCACCGCTTGCTCTCCCGTCTCTCTCTGTAACATGCAGACATGCATACACACGTAGATAGAGTTTAAAAAAGTGACTGTCATGCTATTAAAGAGTCCCTCCTGCCTGCAGAACTTATAGGAACTACCTGTATAAGTTTACACCTTTTCAAATAACATAAAAGGGACAAATAAGTAGAGATAGTACGCCTGCAGTGAAACTTCATTTCCTTCCTTTAAGAGAAAGTGGTATGCAAAGATGGAATGAGGAGTATTTTGCAGTATTAATGAAGAGAAAAAGGTTATTGTGCTTCTGTTTGGAGCAGTAGACACTCTCCATCTCTTGCTTCGGTTTACATTTGCTACATTTTCTTGGGTTCTTTCCTGTAGCCATCCTCATTTTGGCTTTGGTAGACACTATAGTGTTTCTTTCAGCATTACTACCTCATTAACTGGAGAGGTCACTGCTGAGAGATGAGATATTCTCTTTTCCAGTTATCCAGGAGATGCAACACTCCTTGCCTTTGCCAAACCAGGAAACCAGACAGAAGGAATGGAAATCCTATCTGTAGCACACAGCCGAAGCCACTAAACTAAGCCACTGGGCTGCCCTCTGAAACTCCTACTTACACTATGAATACGTAGGCAATAGTAATGCAGGACAAGTTAATCAGGGAGTACTAGGATTTATTTTTTTATGCTCTTTTAGGATTTTGAAACAAAACTGTAATGATTAGTGCAATAGATGAAGTATTCCTCAAGGATTTCACGCTATTAAAACACATGTTCATGTCATTATCACATATCAATATGAATTCGGCTACTAGACAGATTTCTCAGTGTCTAAATGCACCCAAATGTCATGAAAAACATAATTTATGTGTTTGAATGGGAGTTAGAGATGGAATAGTGATAGTGTGCCTGTTTATCCTGTAACCAATGCATGATTGTTTCCTCTACACTCTACTTTTTTCTGTCCATTTAACCATTTTACAGACATCTTATAAGGGATGGGCATTTAATTCCTTTTTATAAAAGACCAGACTACCATCTGCTTTTTCTGCTCTACTCATTGCGGTATTTTATTATTTGACTGATCCATGTGCCTATAAAATAAAGGCAAGATCCCTGTCTACAAGAACCTAAACAAGGAATATTAAAACTATTTTCCTCTTTTGTTTCATGCCACTATCTAGGTAAACCTCTTTATATCACTGAAATAATTCCTGTCCTTGGAAAGCAAATAGAGCACTACCCTAAATAGGTAGCGGGATTTTGTCCCTCTGTGTATGTGTGGTGGCACTGGGGAACTGGTGCATGGACAGACTTAACAACATTGCAGACATCATTTTTTCTTATTCTTCTTTCTTCTACTCAGATCTAGGAAACAAAGACTGTGATGGCTGGAACCAGAGTGGGATGAAGAGCAACTGCTGATTCTCTTCAGCATAGCGTTTCCTTAGTGGCCCCTTTTGAGATGTGAAGACAAGTTTGCAGTGTATTTCACCCATCAGATGCCAAGAGGTGCTGAGAACTACATGTATAGATTCCCGTTAATACAAACAGGATTAAATGCAGTTACACAGTTGAGCACTGGATGGGTGAGAGAGGACCTCCATCTCAATCTCACAGTGAGAAAGGATTGGAGACCAGTGTTTATTCTTACAGCCTTAAAAGGCTTCCTCTACAGGAAGAGGAGGAAGGATATTCAGGACAGTCTAATTCATAGAGTACCTTTGGACCAATAAATTAATTGGTACTGAGACCACTCACTGTCCCAGAGGCCAAGTGAATGTATGTAGCTCTCATCTGCACAGCAAAACTCCCTCTCTACCCCAGAACCTGGAGACTGCAGCCAAAACATACACAGGAAATGGTTGTTGGCATGTGCCTGAGCTATGCTTATGCATCGGTTGGAGAGTGCTTGCTGTCCTGAGCCAAAATGTACCTGAGAGCATGTTAACCATCCCCCAGGGTGGATAAGCACAAGACCACACTTGAACCCATGCCCCAACCCTACTTTATTGACAGGTATAGACATAGCTAGAAAAACTAAATTGGCTCTATAACCTCTGCTAGGCAGCAAGGGAAGAAGATAGGTTATGGGTAGAAAAAAATTAAACACTATATTTGCCTTTGTGGTATGTGAAGAGATGTGTGTTTCTTGAGGTCTTTCTTTTGTAAAGGCCAGCTGAGAGTGCAGGCAAAAGGCTCTTCAGCTGCACAAAATAAACTGAAACTGTGTAGTAGCAACCATCTGAAAATTTGCTCATCCTTTAACTCTTTCATAACCTTACATTATACTTCTATATTTAATTGCATTTCATGTTACATTCTCTTTTACTCTGATAAAAAATTCCAGTGTTGCAACTTTCCTGTAATATAACTTTTAACAGTATCATAGAAGATCCCTAGGGGGTAGATTTAGACTGTGATATCTCAGTGTACCTTATCACTAACAATGACAAGGAAAGCTGTTTAATTCCTAAGAAAACAAGCCATATTTTTTTGTTTCTGTCTAATTCCCAGCTGAGTCCATGCCTCAAGCACCTGCAGATACTTCAATCTAAGTAAACCTAGTAATTTCAGTTTATTTTTCTTCCTGCATAAATGCTGTCACAATGTTGATCGCATCTGGCTTGTGCTATAACACTTATTTGTACTTTGGTGCTATTGGATAGCTGTCATTCAGAGCTTGCCTTCTTATACTTCTTTTCCATATTTGCAGACTGCATGGTAGTCACCAAACTTGCCCATTTCCCTGTATGAAGTCAATCACTCAGCTGATTTGATTGCAACTCCTGTTGTGAAGGACTTGAGCCAGAAGAGGAAACATTTAGCTCATCTGTGCTGAACACACAACTCCTGAGCAAGCGGAAGGGCCATGAACCACCTTCTGACTCAGCCACCACCTTTCTAGCCCACCTCCTGTGCCTCAGTACATAGAACTAGAGCCTGTGTCATTCTCTCATTAACTTACACTATGGCTAAAAGTAATTTGCACAGGCAACCTCACATCTCTGGATGGAAACATCCCTTCTCATATCCTCCTTCAGTAAGTTGGCTTGTGACCTTGTATTTTGCCCTTCCATAAAGTGAGTATCTTCTGACCAAAATTTATCCTCATTGCAGTATGACTTTTGTGTACCACTGTAAGCCCTCTTCTCAGCCACCTCAGGCCAAATATGCTAAGCCTTCTCCTTCCATGGCTGCCACAATTAATCTTCTGTGGTCTCTTTCCAGAACATGAGTATCCTATTTTAACTCTGTTAGCTCCTTGAGCAGTTTTCAAACAGCAGCTAACCAAGGCGTCAGAGAATTAAATCATTGTCTGTCATCTGTTTTTAATGAATTCCCTTGGTCAAACATCCAAAGCCCTTATTTGCTCTTGCAGCTGCTAGATCTCCATCCATAACTTCATATTTGCTGCTATTCCTAGGACTGAACTCTCTAACTTACTTCAATCTCTATTCTAGTAAGTCACTCTCTGTTGCCAGAGAAAAATCTTAGTCTTGTCACAAAGCCAAGACATTCCCCAAAGATGTCAGAGACAAACCTTTAAACTGTTTAACTAAATGACATCTTTAGTGGTATGATTTAGTTTTAGGTAGTCCTGTGAAGATCAGGGAGTTGGACTTGATGATCCCTATGGGTCCTTTCCGACTTGAAATGTTCTATGATTCTATTTAAAAATTTTACACTTAAAGGTTTTACTGGTATTGAGAAAAGGTGATCAACAGAAATAAGAATGCTGGGTGCAAACAATCAGTTTAGATGAGAATGGGGAAGGATGCCTAGTCCACACAGGACAAAATCTGGAAATAACGTCCAAAATGCTGGAGTGTTCATTAAAAAATAAACGGCATCTTAGTTTTGTGCTAATAAAGAATCCCACGTTTTGAAATGTTACATAACAGAAATCAATCTTTCAACAGTTTTAATATTTGGAGCTTTGGAGTCTCTGAGAAACAGTTATTTACTGAGCCCAAGGATGGAGGATAAGAAGCAGCTGCAGATGAAGCCTTCCTTCCTGTCAGAAGGAACCCACAAACACATTTCTCCAGAAGGACTCTGGAATGAGGTTTGATAGTACCCAAGCCCCATTCGAGTCCCAGGTCCCCTCCCACCAGGCACAAGGCCTGAAAATCCTGTTCTCCATGTCAACAGTAGAGTCACATCATAGTGATGTCATTTTGTGCTCAAATTCTGACTTTGCCACATACTCTATTTGCAATAGGACATTATAGATTTTGGTGAATTCATTTCTTTTGATATCACTGATAATCCACAGAGTAATTTTTTCTTTTCTACCAATAAAAACAAGTCAATTATTTCCATTTTTGCCATGCTGGCTGGTGGAAGACTAAAAAATGTACAACCAAAAAATGCGTAACTTCTACATTTGCAAGAGAGGGAATTACCGCAGCATGGAAGAAGGCTGCATCTCAGAGTATCTGTTACTTTTTGAGTCCCCCTTTAATTTGTGAAGACAGTCCTTTCTGTCTAACAACTTTCCTGAATTTATTAGTGTTGGTGGAAGACACCTGCATTTACCTGGCCAGCTCAGTTTAATCACAGCCTTGCACTGCAGACCTGCCAGGAAAAAGACATTCCTACTCTGTCACAAACTCTGCTTTCCTGCCATGTAAATGAGACATGACCTTGATTGAGAAGTGATGAGAAATACTTTTTGTATAGTAGTAGCATCCACAAATGGGGTCTTACAACATGTAGCAAGACAACGGAAGATTAGACTTTAAAGCCTAGACTGCATTTTTTTTCCCAAGAGAGTCAGCT